GAATTTCATTAATCGATGACGTAACCGTCACTAAAGATCATAAAACATGTTAAGATCAATGTAGTAACAAATCCAATTTCAAAGTACATTACTATTTCATTTTGTTCTGAGTTATAATGAAGTTCCAGAGAACTGAAAAAGAAAAGCAATAGCCCACATACTATTTCAGCTTTCATTTTACTTTCATGATCATAATGAATCAATCATCAAGCAATTCAAGGTTGTTTCTTAAGAGAATTCTTCGTAAGCTCATTTCGCACATGATGAAATGTTCGACACATGCCGAGTTGATGAAATCGAGTTGTCATATCTTGACGAAAATCAACTTTGTACTTGGCTTTTGTCGAGTTCGTTGAATGTTGAATCGATATGAGATATCCAAGTTGAGCTCAAGTGTTATCATGCTTGACGTGCGAACATTTGATTTGGGCTCAATTTGGGGGGATTCAGATGTATATTTTAGGTTTTTCAAAAAAATATATTCCCATCAATTATAGGGATTGAAATGCTCACTCCGATATCAATCCCCTTCCGGCTTATCTATTTTCTCAACAGCTTAGTTTCTTATGAACATAAAATTCAAATATCTTAGAATTTTTTTTGATTTGTTTCGTCAAAATACTTGTTTCAAGTAAAAGCAAGAAAGTTTGGAGGATTTTTTACTCCTAAAATTGCCTCAATAATTTTGTAAATAAGCAATATAGCACTTAATTTAGGCACAATCGAACTCAAATCCAAGCTTTCTTTCTCATAAATCAGATGGGGTGTGTGTGTGTCTGTGTGTTTGTGTGTGTATTTCAAAAGGTTGATCGTCGATCAACCCAATAGTCTGACTGAGGGGCGGACCCCCCTTTCAGACAGGTGTACAATTTGATCCTACGCATGAACTGAACCCCCGATCTGCGGGATTTATACCAAAGACCGCAACCAATGAGCCCGACGAAGACATATATATATTTATATTAAAGTTTAGACCTATATGTAAATACGTATGAATTGAGTGGTTTGTAAGTAGATCTTACTTTTTATTCAGATAGATTTTTATGATGATAAATTTTATTTAATTACTTCTATTTTTTATTTTTCAGAATTTCTTATGATGACAGTTTTTATTTTATAATTAAATTTACTAGACTATATCAGCAATTAAAAAAATTCCTACTTTAAAAATTTTTATAATCATAATTTTTCTATACAAATTAATTTTTCTCATACATATTTTGATATTGTCTTTATAAAAAAATGGACTCTATTTCTGATCATAGCGATTTAATATGTGCAGATGCTATTAACTAGAGTCTATATGTGATAACTTTTTGTTTGTTTTGTTTTTCAGGCACCCACCACAATCACAGTTCTCTTTGAGGAATTGTTTTCATGCTGTTTTTTTAGATATTTTTATGGTAGAAAGCTGATTTTTTCAACTTGAGCTGTTAAAGTGTGATGACTGTCAAAAACTATAATTTACGTTTTGAAAATAAAATAATTTATAAAAATTACCGTAATATTTTGAATATTAATTTCTTGTGCAGCAGCTTCACATTTGATTCTTCAGATAATTATAGCCGCTCAAATAAATAAAATAAATAATGCATAAAAGTTGATGGAAATAAGTTGGAAAAAGGGAAAAGGAGTTAGCCGACACAATTAGTGGGAATATGGTTGGCAATTCAGCTATCCATGGAGCAAATGCTGCAAATCCAAACTGAATCAAAGGACTGGCCATTAATGCACGATTTATTGGTTTTTTATAAGGTCATGTGGTCTTGATTTTTAAACTATTAGATTTAATTTAACTTTTTTTCAAAATGCAGTCTAATAAATAATTTTAAGCTGTTCGTGTTTGTTTCTAAACGAGCGAGCCGAACACGAGCTGTTCGCGAACGACGAACAAACTAAACCCATCTACTTCCCTAATATTAACAATATCTATATTAGTATATTACTAATATACTATATTAATATATTATTATTATTAATTTAT